TGAAAGAAAATAAATACACACATCACACATTTCACCAAGCCTACTAGAATTCTTGATCATGCCAGTGTTATACAACAATTCTCCAAAATGTAGGAATACTAAGTGGGCATTAAGGTAAGAAGCACAGCACAAGCAAAGGTTATTATGCTATATAGTATAAGTTCAAGTTCACAATCACTAATTTCGGCATAAATTTTTGGTCAATATTCCATTCAATTTAAATCCAAAATCTAATCACTCCACATTAATGACCATAGCTCTCATTATCATACAGTACTTCCTTTATTGTGAGACAATCTTCACAGGTAGCTCCATCTTCTATAGTTCATAGATCTTTTAAAAACAAGTTAAACATACAAATATTGATCCTATAAAGCAATTGAGAAATCAAACAACCTTTAAAATGGGGATAAATGTTTTTCTTTTTTCTTCTTCCATAAATGGGGATAACTGAGTCAATGTTCATTTAGAATATAATACTTTCAAACACTCAAAAACCCATTCAATTTCCTGGGTAATTGCCCATTCTCAGGAAATCAGTTCCAAGCAATTTTAGCCCTAAAATGTTAAACTTATTTGTTTTGGAATCAAGTTTCTAACACCAATATTTCACAATTATCACCTCAGTTCCCACCAATGAAAGAACCCTGTACATAATAAATTCAGCTTACAACGTTCAATGTACAAGTCTTAGCCATATACCCAAAAATTTCACGAAATTAAAGTGTAAACTGACGTACCATTTTTCAGCTCCAATCCACTCCTCAGTTCTCAAAGACAATCTCGACTGTGGATCACGCTACCCATCTTCCCTCCAAAACACGTATGTTGTGGGCGACACACATAAATGCACAGTATGCAAATCTGTATGAATCTATACGTATATATGAAGGAGAAAATTTCAAAGGAGGGATATAATCCTCGATTTCTGATATAAAAAAATGACAAGAATATGATGAGTGCATGCAACTGCAGATTGATTACTCTATTTGTTTTTCATCTCACAAATTCATTTTATGGAATCAATATTATTTTGGGAGTGTCCCTATAACTTCGGATCAATTCTCTCTTCCTCGCTTCGAATTGTCGGACACTCGTGGCTAAGAATTCACTCTCTCTCTTTCTCTATATTGCTCAGTTTCTCTTTCATGGGGTGGTTTCTTTCCCGTTATGGTGGATTTTCATTTGCCACCCTCAATTTTTTTACTTTAATGGCATTTAGCCCTCTCAAGTTTGAAACTTGACGATTACCTCCCAAAAAACACGAAAAATACTATTGGCCAATAGTTAGGCCAGCGTTGGTAGAAACGGCTTTAGTTTGGTATCAAAGCTTAGAGCTCGTTTGGTACACATTANTTTTCATTTGCCACCCTCAATTTTTTTACTTTAATGGCATTTAGCCCTCTCAAGTTTGAAACTTGACGATTACCTCCCAAAAAACACGAAAAATACTATTGGCCAATTGTTAGGCCAGCGTTGGTTGAAACGGCTATAGTTTGGTATCAAAGCTTAGAGCTCGTTTGGTACACATTAAAATGAAAGAATCCATTTTTTTGAAGTGATGTGATGGAGAATATATGGTTGAAAAAAAAAAGGAAAATTTATTAATGTAATGGAGAATATTATTTTATTGAAAAATGTGTTGTTGAAAATGATTAGAAAAATGAGAATGAAAAAAATAATGTGGCCCAAACAAGAGCTTAACATGTCTTGAGATTCATGAGGTCCCAATGGCACAAGCGGCTTTCTACATGATGTTAACGTTTTCATTCTATTCAATCATGAGATGTCGATGGATATGTGTTTGGATGAGTATGAAAGAACTCCGATATGGCCCATTGTTTGGGCTTCATTAAAAATAGGTTTTGAAAAAAACAAATGTATTTTAAAATAGTTAATTTTAGACTAATGTATGATTAAACCCTTGTTTGAGCCTCATTCTATCAAAAAATTATTTTTTTAAAATTCATTTTCAATCGCACGTTCTCCGATAAAATAATTTTACACGTAAATCGAAAACTTTTTCTTAATTTTTTACCCACAAGTTCTCCAAAAAATACTATTTCAAAATACATTCTTTTTCCCAAAATGGGGCTCAAACAAGGGTTAAAAAATAATGAAGTTTTTCCAATACTAACTCGGACTAATGTACTCAATTCATAATCTCGTTAAATGCATAAGATAATAATTTTATTTAAAATTCTTTAAGACAAAAAGAAAATGAGAAATAATAATTGTTTAAATACGTAAAATATATAATACATGTCATGTCAAGGAACCTTTTACTTCTATTTTTTTTTTTTTCTGAAAATATTCATTTAACGTTGTTTGTACTCAAATCAAACACAATCTCATCCCTAATTTTTGTTTACAATGCACACACATATTTGGTATTATCCTTTTTTTTCTTCAGAAAGTAGGCATTGAAAGTCAAGGTGTTTGAAAGGCTCTTTTTGGAGAAATAGCAAGTAAAAGTAAAACACTGTTATTATGGGAATCATCGTGATTATTCTCAGTAGGCGTATTTATAATTTTTCCTCAATAGGCTATTACATTCTAGTATCATTTTCACTATTTTATAATTTTTTTTTTATCTCAACATTATTATTCGTAGAGGTTTTATAATAGTAAGTAATCAAAGCCCCTATTTGACAGTCATTTTTTTGGGGAAGAATTAGTTTTTGAATAATAAATTTTGAAGAATTAAAAAGTACCAAAAAAAAATAAAATTTGAATATACTTGAAGAATATTTTATTATAAATTATGTCTCGTTTGGTACACATTAAAATGAAAGAATGCATTTTTTTGAAGTGATGTGATGGAGGATATATGGTTGAAAAAGAAGGAAAATTTATTAATGTAATGGAGAATATTATTTTATTGAAAAATGTGTTGTTGAAAATGAGTAAAAAAATGAGAATGAAAAAAATAATGTGGCCCAAACAGGGGCTTAACATGTCTTGAGATTCATGAGGTCCCGATGGCACAAGCGTCTTTCTACATGATGTTAACGTTTTCATTCTATTCAATCATGAGATGTCGATGGATATGTGTTTGGATGAGTGTGAAAGAACTCCGATATTGCCCATTGTTTGGGCTTCATTAAAANAAATCCTTCAGGTAGGACACATTTTCTGCCCATGCAAAAATAATTTAATGGTGTCTGACATTTGAATTTCAAGTATTTGTCATAAAGATACTAGGCCCTTGTTTAAGCCCAATTTTATCAAAACTCATTTTCAACCACACATTTTCCAATAAAATAATTTTACACGTAAATCGAAAACTTTTTCTTATTTTTTTACCCACAAGTTCTCCAAAAAATATTATTTCAAAATACATTCTTTTTCCCAAAATGTGGCTCAAACAAGGGTTAAAAAATAATGAAGTTTTTCCAATACTAACTCGGACTAATGTACTCAATTAATAATCTCGTTAAATGCATAAGATAATAATTTTATTTAAAATTCTTTAAGACAAAAAGAAAATGAGAAATAATAATTGTTTAAATACGTAAAATATATAATACATGTCAAGGAACCTTTTACTTCTATTTTTTTTTTTTCTGAAAATATTCGTTTAACGTTGTTTGTACTCAAATCAAACACAATCTCATCCCTAATTTTTGTTTACATTTTCTTCAGAAAGTAGGCATTGAAAGTCAAGGTGTTTGAAAGGCTCTTTTTGGAGAAATAGCAAGTAAAACACTGTTATTATGGGAATCATCGTGATTATTCTCAGTAGGTGTATTTTTAATTTTTCCTCTATAGGCTATTACATTCTAGTATCATTTTCACTAGATAATTCAAGAGGTAATCGATATTCATCACAATTTTATAATTATTTTTTTATCTCAACATTATTATTCGTAGAGGTTTTACCATCGTAAGTAATCAAAGCCCCTATTTGACAGTCATTTTTTTGGGGAAGAATTAGTTTTTGAATAATAAATTTTGAAGAATTAAAAAGTACCAAAAAAAAAATAAAATTTGAATATACTTGGAAGAATATTTTATTATAAATTATGAGATTTTATTAATAGTAGAGAATGAAATTTCCACAATAAATGCAAACCCCAATAATCGACTCAACCGTATCTACTAGGTCAGTACTAGTCCTTTCTTTATTGTAAAAAAAGGTGATTAAAAATGAGTACTAAAAAAAAAGGTTACGAGAAAAATTATTGTCAAACAGGGACTCGATCGTTCATCACTTTCACCAAATTCAAGTTAGTTTTCATTGGGAAATATGAGTAGAACATAAGCTCGAGTATGGCGGAAATTAAAATTATGTTTTAGGTAGATTTTGATATAAATTGATGAAATATATAATTGTAGGATCCATAAAATATAGAATAATGATATCTAACACCACTGGTGCTAGATCACAAGTCTAGTTGTCATGCAAGCGATTGCACATTTTAAATGTGATTTATTTTCCTACTTTTAAGGTGAGCTATCAATTAATGACACTTACACAGATGCTTAGTACCAGTAGTGCTAAATAACATTGCTCTTAACATATATGATTAAAATTAATTGTCGACTTTAACTAATTAAAATCTAAATTTTAATTTGTACCAAATATGAGCTAATAATTCATATCTAGAAATAAAGCTAAAGAATTTTGATTCTCGAAAGATAATCAAACTTTCGTGTTTGTAGCAACTTGGAGCCTGATGCCCAGTTGGACGATTATTAACAAGAAAGAGGAAAATGCATACCCACTTACTTTTTGAGGGGTAGATTTTCACTTGTCTCAAACATGAAATCAACGCACAAGAATTTGAGTCACTGTTCTTATTTAGATAGAATCCAAAACACACGATAGAAGAAACTAGAAATATACACGATTTCATCACAACATTCCATACGAAAATCCAGTTCGTTCATAACAGCAGCAACCTACTTCAGTTTCTGGGATAGAGTTTTGAAGTAATTCAACATTCCCAGGTTAACAGAAAAAGAAACTAGGTTGATCGACCTTACTTGCCATGAATTCAATCATCGGCATCTTTTAAGTAGAGAGACTCACCCCCATCACCTGAGCTTCCACCGCGTCCTTCTGCAGGCCCACTGCTGCCCACTTCTTGCTTACCTCCACCTGCCATTGCCCTTCCAGCGGCATGCAGCCCCTCCCCGGTGGTGCTGCGGCCAAAGTCTGGAAATCCTACACCTCCAAATCCACTGCTACCTCCAGCACAATGAGACTCCCCTTGCAGCATAAGTCCACCGCTTCCTCCCGTGTTCATTCCGAGTTGGCTGTGCAAAGCTTGTTGTTGAAGTGCTGAGTATTGCTGCTGACTGTATAGCATAGAGGATCGAGCAGCCATAAGTGATTGAGGTGTCATTTGTTGAGCTTGTTGGTGCTGCATGTAGTGTGCACCAGGCTGTAAAATCCCACCTCCAGGATACTGCAAGACAGCACCAGAGAATAGTAAATCATACTTTTAGGTTTCAACCTTCATGAATCGGTCATGTAGGGTGATAAAATTTCAGAATAACAAGACTTGCAATTATTGGAATTAGTGGTTTTAAAACATGTTGAACAACCTCGTCTAAAAGCTTCAACTCTTAAAAAGGGATCAAACTTATTTTTCTAAATTATGTCATATTTCATCCAAGGCGTCACACGTAGACAATTTTCATAACGGGAGGGTAGCTACTACTCAGATATCATGTTTAACTGTCACATCTAGAAGCTTAAATTGTTAAAGAAGAATCTAATTTATTTAAAGTCATGTCTTCAAGAAAAAAGAAACAATAATATTAGGTCCAAACAGAAGTAATCAGTTTACCGAAAGTGAAACCAAAGGTCGGAATTCAAACACACGGTTCATTCTTCTCTACAATTTTCCTTTTGGAGAAAATACCTGAGAATGCATGCCAGGTGGTTGAGGTTGTGAATCAGCAATAGCAGCTAGATACATCAAGTTTCTTTGTAACCTGGCCTGGTTCCTACCAAGATAAAGACATTGTAAATCAAGTATGAAAAGGATCTGACTATAACCAAATTTTGCCTCAACTAAGCATGAAAAATCCAAATATTCGAAGGCCGTTCGGGAAGAAAGAGGAGAGAAAAAAAGTTGAAGAGTTTTTCCTTTCTAGAAGACCGATCTCCCCTTCGGGCAAAACACTAGATAATCCAACTGTACAATACTTGTCACATTCTTCCCGGAAAAAGCAAAGAAGTCGATAAGAAAAATAAAAATTTCTATTGAGCATATTTGAGGAAAAAAATTATTTGCGATCATCCAAAAGCAAAAATGAAAAAACAATTATAATATATTAAACGGTTGAGGACCTAGAGCTAATTTTTAAAAAAACCAGTGAAAGACGAAGCACACTATTTCGTTTAAAACCTGTAAAAAAAGACTAGTGTATATGGGATCAGGGAGGGAGAGAAAACAAAAAAAAATGTTAAAAGAGTGTTTACTCTGCACATTCACTCATTTTCCCCGAGTTTTGGTTCTCGACAATCTTCAGAATCAGCGACTTGTTTTCATCCAGATACTGCAGATAATATAAAATCAATAACTAGTGGACAGTTGATCTGTGGCAAAATGCACAAGTTGAAGGCAAGATTGATACGCACGAAAAAACAACTGAGTGAATCAACATTTGCCATAAGGAAAAACCATAAGTCAAAACTCCAGTCCTATCGATATTAAACTAGAGCCCTTCTCCCAATTATGCGAGCAGATTAAAATCAGAAACACAACATATATTTCTAGTACTACATAAAGCCATCATTTTTTGTATATTTGTCATTTAAAATTTTACAGACAGACTCCAAGTTTAGTCATGAGTCCTCTAAATTCAAGATTGTTCAGGATGGAGAAGGATCAAAATCTCATTGTAATGGGCATTACACAAGAAACACTACACCGATTATTTAGCTTTATAGGAAAAAAAAAAAAGTGTCATTCTTGATTGAAAATGAAGGTTTCCTAAGTTACACTACAAGAAATGTTTACAAACATTAGAAAGTTGCATCCCAGTTTTTCTATGGAACTCTTTTTTATATGTTATTCTTCTCGTTAAAGAATCTAGTACACATGGTCATGCAATATATTGCAGCTATATGTAGAAATGAACAAGAAATGGCGGGTAGGTTGGAGATAGAATAGATGGGGGTATCAGGGTCGACAGTAATCATTCTTGATTTATAAAGGATTGTTAGGGACCCTTTTGTGTGTGTGAGGGGATTCAGATATTATTGCATAAACTAGTGAATTTGGTTTCCGATTATGCAGCAGCAAAGAGGGGACCGTTCTGAATCATTATATATCAGTGACTGAGCTTCAATTGTAGGAATTGCAAAAACAAAACCCCACCAAATACCAAATTATCCAGCGGAAACAAAAAGGAGCCCAATCAAGTAGAAACCGAACAAAAATAAAGGTCATAGTCAGGATTGAGGAAAGCAGCAGGCAAAATGGCAGAGGGGGCAAGTGAAAAGGAAATAGCAGAAGAAGAAAAGTTTGAACAGAAATCAACAGAGAAGAAGAACAACAACAAAGAAAGAAGGAAGGACCTGCTGAATATGATCAGTAGTGACGTTGCTGGGATAGTAGGCTGCCATCATGGGTTGCATCGGCATCAGGTGCTGCTGCATGCCTCTCTCCTTTATACCACAACTCACACACACACACTCACTCTCTCTCTCTCTCTACAAATATCTGCTGTATGTATCTATCCCTAATTCTATATCTGCAACTTTGACTGTGATATTCCTTCGCCGTTTTGGATGCAAGGGTTTCTCCGTTGCACGCAAAGAGTTTAACATTGACGCTCTTAGACAACAAATATCATACTGTTCACAGTACAATCACTAGTGTGAAAAGGGTGAAAAAATGTACTACTTTGACCTTGGTTAATAACCTACTTGAACAACTAATTTGACAGCGTATGAATTGGCTGGAATTTGTACAAATTCATTGTACAGCTAGTAAACAAATTCAAAAACCCTAGTAACCCTTTCAGTTTTGTGTGAAAGAGAGAGAAGAATCTGCAGGCGCAGAGAGGAACAGGAGCAGTAGATTATTGAGCGAGTGAATAGGGAGGGGTGTGTTTCGGGGTTCGGTCTGCCGCCATGGCTTTTCTATAAAAAGTAGGTCACGTGATGGATCAGGACATATAGAAATGAGAAACAGACAAACCAACAAATATATTTATTTCAATTAAGCTTAACACCACGCTATCAATCAAAATTTATGTGATTAATTGTTTAAATTATTGTTAAAATTAATATATAAATGATTGTCACCTTACAATAATGTGAAACTTGATGTCAAACTCGATATATATGTAACGAGTTACAAGATTGTAGCTTATAAAATTCATTAAAATCTAAATATTAATAATCAATAAAAAAATATATTTTTCAAAAGATCCACCGTTTTTTCTCAAATTTTAACCATATATTTCATGAAATTTAATTTTTAGCTACAACAAAACCGAGGTAATGAGAAAGTTTGGTGTGTGCTTGACATGCTCCAATCAGTCTTTCATTTTATATTTTATTTTACGTTTGATTAACGTTATTGAGAAAAAATGTTGCTTTGAATAATGATTTTTAGAAAAATGTATAAGATATGGAAAAATTTTAGATTTACGTATTAAAAAAATTTATTATGTGAATTTATGGTTGAAAATGAGTATGAGAATTAAGGAGTTTTGGTCAAAAAAATAAAATACAAACGAGGCCTTACTTTTTAATTGCAGACTTTATGGAATCAACTTATAATAGGAAAACACTATGTCGAACAAAAAATTAATAAGGTCCCATGATGTAACTTTGATGCTCAATATATATATCACGAACTTTGAAAAATTTAAATAAGTTGTTAAATTTGAAGATTGATATTCTTAAATAGAAGAAATCGCACATTAATTGATTATTTAGTAGTATGACTCATATATGAGTGTTTGATTACTCACCTTTTACTATGGTATTGGAGTTCAGTAAGCCCTGTTTGTCTACCATTTTTCAAAACATTGTTTTCTATAGTAATCAATCTTCACCACACATTCAAATAATAAAATATTCTACACATAAACCAATAAAAAAATTTTCAATTTTAACCACACATTCTCCAAAAAATACTATTCAAAACATCGTTCTTTCTCCCATAATGGGAGACAAACAGGAGCTAAGTCTTGACTCAGATTCAAATGAGTACACAGATTTCAAAATTTATGTTCTTTAACGAATCGCTATCCCACGGAGTAAATATTGATTACAACTAACTTATAAGAATTTCGACCATCTCTTTTGAAGAATTTAATATTTTAGTATGCAACTCGTGTCTTAATAAGCCGAACCCTATTCTTACATAGTTTTAACTTTCAAGCTATTCTTTATTACAATGTTCTAATGAAATTTCAAGATTCAACCCCCGTGTGCACGCACTGAACTTTGACATTTTTAAGTTTCCTAAAAAGAAATGATGTGTGAATACAAGAAAAGTAAGCCCATGTTTGGCTCCATTATTTCCCATTATATTATAATTCATTTTTCTCTCTTTTCTTATCAATCACACATTTTTTAATAAAATAGTATTATGTGTAAACCTTAAAATATTTTCTTTTTCTAATCACATATTTCTCGAAAAATTATCATTCCTAATCCTCTCATGACATGTAACAATGTGGGCCAAAACGGGCGATAAATATTCAACTCCGGCAGAGAGAGAGAGAGTACAAAGAGAAGGGGAAAAGTGAATGGACTGTCGAGTACACAATAAACCACGCGAAAGAACATTGGCCGTTGGATTTTGGGCCGCCACCTCGGTCCAAACAACAACGACCCTTGCTCACACGTCATTTGGTTTTCGAGGAATTCTTACGGATTCACGCGTCTTCTGGCACGTTGACTTTGCAAGCATTCTTCTTTCATTAAGTTTATAAAGGAATGAAATTCACGCGCTGTATTTTGGCCTGGGATTTACTGTTTCGGACTTCAAAGCGCTGCAGAGGCATTTACGGCATTTATTCCGTAGAGCAGCGTGCAGCATGGTTAATTTTAGAGTAAACTACCTATATCTCAAGCTACTGTTTTATGCCAATATTTTGAGAAAAAATAGAATTTTTAATGATGACTTTTTGAAAAATGTATGATAAAAAATAAAGAAAAAAAATTGAATTTATAAAACTGAAAATGAGTATGAAAATTAAAGAATTTTGAAATAATGATTATTGTTGACCTTGAAAAATGTATCTCCATGTGGCCAATAGCTTGTAGCTCCAAGCAAGCTTTTCCTACACACTAGAACACACCATTAGTTTTTTGTGGCATTTTTCAGTGATGGTGGAGTGATCGTGAACAATCCAACGATCAAGTTAATAGATAAATGTTGAAGAGGGTGATATAGAATGTAATTTATGTTATTGAGGATTGTTAAGTTGCCTTGCCTTTAGATAGTTAAGTACATGTATTTATATAACATTCAAGATGAAATACCAACCATGTGATGAGGAGACACGTGGCCTCATCTGATGGCGAGAGCAACTCATGTCCCCTCTTAGGTATCAATTCGTCAGTCATAGATTGATGGGTATCTAATGAAGCATTTAATGTTTTCCGCTAAAACCTAAAAGAGTTTATGACTTGACATTTTGACGTCTACTGCAAAGATGTTACGTCAATCAATCTTCTAACAATTAAGCCAAGGATCTTTAGGTTAGAAGAGATGGAATGACAACCCTAAGCCCTCTTTAACGATGAGTAATCCCTCATACCACTTTGACGACTAGCGCTTCGACACATCTCACTTCATCACTTCGGCCAAATGGCTAGAGAGTACAGACTTCGGAGCATTGGCACTTCAGGAGGAAGCCATAGAGTATCGCGAGGTGATGAGTTGATTCACGAGTGTGACGTGGACCTAGTTTAGCGAGGCACGATGTGGCACCATGTTTATATGGTCTGGAATCTCTTTATTAGAGGTATAACAGTTATCAAATATGGGCTTATTTGAGACGTATTTTTGGATTAAAATGTATTTTATAATAGTAATTTTTTAAAAATGCATCGTTAAAAAGTAAGGAAAAATTTTCAATTTACATTTATAATTATTTTATATAAAAATATGCAGTTAACAATGAGTTTTAAAAAAATATTTTTTGAAAAAATGGAGTGGAAACAAAACAAACACTCCTCTCATTTAAAAAAATTTCAGAATATATTTTTTAATTTTAATTTAGATAAAAAAAAAATATATTATTTTAATATTAAAATGTTTATTTTTTTACAAAACATTTATTTTTTTTTTTCCCTTTTGTACCTAACGATTTCATCTTAAATCATATTTTTTGTAGAAAAAAAATCTAAATATTAAATAGGGAAAATTGCAGCAACGATCCCTTACATATTCATTTTTTTGTAAATTTTATCATAACCTTTAATTTATGCCACGAATGTTCCTTAAATTTCAGAAATATGTATTTGAAGTCAAAATGAATAGAATTCATCGACTTTTCGGTTAATTGACCTTTAATTATGATTTTGACCAAGGTACAATTTTCTGTTCCCAAAAATGAACATGATAATCAGCAAAAATGACAACCAAGGTACAATTGATGTTCCCCAAAGTTATATGAGGTAGGCCACAAAGGCTTATAAACCAGAAAACCCAAACTAACCCTTATTATACTGTTCACCGAGAGGCAGAGAGCGATCATAGAACACCAAGTTCTTGATCTTCACCAAAAAATAAATAAATAAATAAATAACGAATCGAAGATGGATTGTTTGGGTTTCCCGTGGCAGTTGACACATTCCATGATAAGTTGCTACAACACGTGAAAGCACGTTTTAGTAAAGCACGATTGCTCTACAATTTTGGTAGCTCGCCCGTTTTCCCTTCAACAACGTGTTTTGGTTTTATATTGTGTGTTAAAAACGTAAAAGTAAAATTGATGCAACTTTAGAATGGCATTACAAACTGGTAGGACCTCTAAATCAAGATCGATATGTTAGTTAGATTGATTTGGTCTTTGAAACATATTTCTAGACACTTATCCAATGGATAAAGTAAGGTCATGTTTGATAATGATGATTTTCCATGGAATTAGGAAAATATTTATCATTTTTCATCTTTTGCATTGTTTAGAAAATTTTTGCCCCTCACCCACTTTTTCCTTGAAATCAATTAATTGGTTTTCTCACAATTTTGATGGGAAAATGATTTTCCTTTTTTTTTTTGGCAATTGGAAAAAAATCTAACAATGGTAAAAAAAAAAAATAAAAAATCATTTAATGGACAATTTTCATGCAAAACAAAACCAAACGAATGGTATTCGGTATGGTAATTTTTTTTAATTTTTAATTTTTATTATTTATTTATTTATTTTTTTTGTAATTGGAACAAACTATAAACTCAATGGTAGAAAAAAATTATTACTTTCATGGACAATTTCCATAAAAAAAAATGAAGCCAAACGGACACCAAACTTTCAACATTTTTCAGGTGAAAAATTATACCAATCAAACACAATTAATTACAATTCCCAGTAAAACAATTTATAGGTAATTCAATTTCATGTAAAACATTTTATTTCCACCCATTTTCCACATTTGCAATTAAATGGACCCTAAAGTTAAATACAAGCTAA